GGGGGGGGGGGGGGGGGGGTGATATTATTATTTTACGTTACTTTCACGGTTATGGGTCGAAGGGTAGGAAAAATGCTGACTAGCATTTCAGGCACTCTTACTAAGGGTCGCCGTTACTGTTTACGCAGGAAGGGAAGAGGCTGGATGAAGTTAAGGTCAAGAGATATTTGAGGGTGGGTCGATCCTTCATAAATCCGTGGATTTCTTTAACGAGAGTCTAATAGTTTTCCCGCGACCCCCCAAGTCCCTCATAAAGATACAGCAGGTGGTTGGAATGTAAGGGTATATATATATATATATATATATATATATATATATATATATATATATTGTATCTTTCTTTGGTTATTCCATTTGAAACGCTCGACCGTCACTTCTCAACGTCAATTTCCACGAACGTATAGACTCCTTTCGAACACGGGGATAAGTAACAATGACAGATGGTAACAGATAAGCGAGAATAAGAGAGAAAAGGATTACCGTGCAAGTTCTACCAACCTGATCATTTCGATGATCAGAAGTAATTTAACGTTCTGATCGATTGGCTCGTGAACGACGCCAGTTAAAGTTAACGAGGAGAGACGCAGATAATGGAGTCCCGTGGACTCCCTCGTACTCGAATTTATCGTGGGACTTAATCTCGCGTTTTAGTGCAGTCCCATCAGCAGCATGTGTTCCTGAACGTAAACGTTAAATCTTCCCTGAACCGGACAATCCAAGGGAGCATGAAAAAAGAAAAATTCCATATCGCGCTATTATAACATTTTGCCGACAAGCACTTTCAGAGCGTCAAGAAATCACAAGAGAATCGAGTACGAGGGAGAAAGATTGATTTTAAGGTTAAGTATATATATTTGTACCTTTATCTGCACTTACCGTCAATTCCTTCGATTCCATCGTCGCTTTGATGATTTTGACAATTTGAACTCTCCGGAGGGCAGATCATGGCCGCCAACGACGATAGCCACGGTGTTGTTGGCATTCCTGTGGTTTTTCCAAGTCAACACGGAACGCTCACCATTTGTCACCTAGAGACGTCCTTTTTTACGTACGATCTCATTTGTCAAGCGTCACTCGTACAGTCCGTCGGTCCCATTCGCAGATTGGAAGAATTTTTTGCTTGCGTCTCCGCAGTCTTCGTAGAATTTCGAAAGGGACGATGGAACTGGGAAAAAGTATACCGAGCTTTGCGGCAGTTTGCGCACGTGAGATTCTGTCTCCAAGGTATTCCGCCGCGACACTAGCGACATCTGGGCTTAGCAAGTTCGAAGCTCTTGAGAGATCCCAGAATACTTATAACGCGTGCATAAAGAGGATTTCAAAATAACGGAAGGTAGATACGTAGTAACTCTCGGTAAGTATTCTGAAGGTTGGTAATAGTTGTACAAGTAGAAATGGTCGGGGGCGTTTTCACGCGAGCGACGGACTGACTTGGTTGTAACAAGTAAGTAGGTAAGTAAGTACGAACAAGTAAAGTAAGAACGATAACCAAGCAGACATTTCTCATGACAGTTAAACAGTTTATTCGGATTCAAACTGTATATATGTATATATCTACGTATCTATATATATATACACATACAAGTTACATGATATGGAATTTCGGATATGAAGTCGCCTATACATACAGTGAACTTAGAGTATTAATGTCAATTAAATGTACATGGATTTCATATGACATTGGCTTTATGTACAATTTCTGAGAGTAATCCTTAATATACGATCCGCGATGGAAATCACCCTTGTTTATTACCCGGGTGGAATTTTTCCATGGACGTGAGAATAAGTCACAGTCGATATACAAGACGATATTATTATTAAATTTATCGTTACGGCGATATCGATTTTCGAACGTCCAGCTTCCTTCGCACGTAAACTCAAAATACAAAAGAGATAAAAAGAAGGAAAAAGAAAAATCGCGAGCCAATCAATGCATCTCTGAATGACGATGATCGATCAGCCATTAGAATTAAGCAAATCCAAGTCGCCCATAAATGCCTCCTCAACCCTATCGGAATATCAATGAAAAATAATTGGCGTATTTTTTTTCCAAAATATCATTCGAGATCATTGTCCGTCACGATTACACTTAATTTTTTAAAGATTTCTTTTTCTCTCTTTTTTTTTAACAATTATATACAGTGATACAATGGTTGCTAACAAGTAACGTTTGCTTTTTTTTTACACTGAGAAGAATTCGAATCTGCTTCATCTTGTATTATGTATTCTGCCGTTACGTAAGTAACTCTTGCTCAATTTTTCATTTTTTAAATAAATTAACCATTATCATTGAATCCTCATCACACATACAATTATTTATACAATTAGGTGATTACATCCCTTGAGCTTAGTCTGCCTCGATTTCACTTCTCTTGAAATAATATTCTTCTTATTCTTCCCATTTTCATCCTGCAGAATGATTCTCGATATATACGTATTGTTAGGATGAAGATTGGCAATTGTATCCATTCAATTGACGATTGATATTCAATCATTCGAAATCATCGGAATGTACCATTATACGAGGCAGCGCGCACCCTGGGTAATCCTCGCAGGTTTCTCATGTGGAATAACATATACAGGGTGATTCAATTAGAGTATTCATTGAACTAGGAATTTTGGCAAATTTAACGAAATTTCTTAACAGATTCGTATCGAACGAATACTACTATCAAATGGGGTACACCCTGTATACGCTCGTTTTTTTTAGCGGTGTTTAATAGTCTCTTACGAAAAATGGGTGAAGATTAATTTTTCTTTGTCGTTTAATTATCTCAGGTGAGAATTTCAAAGTATTCAATTATAGAGATCCCCGTAATTAATCCCGACTTCATCTCACTGGAAATCTATTTCCGTGTTGTCCGCTACGGTAGGTGGGTACTTTTTGCGTCAGGAGGCTGTCTTAATTGGTCTTCTCATTAGTGGGTTTCGTATTTGGTAATCTGGATATAAATAAGCTTACGAACGTTATCACTTCCGCCAGTAAGAGATAACAGAAAGAAATGGACAACGTGTCTTTTTCTTATTACACGTGTAGATTGTATAACATAATTGTATAACACATAAGAACGTAAACAGCATTTGTCGTTGGTACATTTCAACTTGAGATCTCTAGAGTTAATTACTGGTGAGATGAATCGGCCGTTCTGTATCAACGATATAAAAGTAGTACAAAATGATGATGAGTTGGATTTTGCAAAAAATTGATTTCATTTTAAACATCGAATACCTCGTATGTATACTAAATGTGTGTCGACGGTTGGGCAAAATGATGGAGATTGGCGATCGGTATCGAGTGACGACTACACAAGGTATCGATAAGCTGGACCAATTCCGTGGTGGCATCCGAAGTTTGGAAATTTCGAAAAAAAAAAAACAGTCTAGGTTCTCTAGAGAATGGAATGTGACAGGGAGATGAGATTTTTGAAAAATGCGTAAAATCGAAAGAAAGAGAGAGAGAGAGAGAGAGAGAGAGAGAGAGAGGGGGGGTGAGAAAGAGAGAGAGAGAGAGAGGTGTGTACGAATTTACGTATTGGTAGAATTTCGAGAGAAAATATTTTTCGCACTTTTTTTTTTCAAAATTCAAAACGGTTCTCTAGCTTCCTCTTTGGGATCTTTCGATTTTTCACATTGCTTCTCGCGTTTCCTCATTTCCCATCGCTCCGGGTGGCCAAAGAATTTCTCTTGTGGGTCGAGGGCTTACTCGTATCCGGTTTTGAAATTCTTGCCTAGACACAACTTTCCGGAAGTCTGTTCGCCATCAGGCGTCTCTTGATGGCTTCGCCGTCGAGGCACTCCCCGGCGACGATGACTCCCTGGCCAGCACCCACGACGACGCCGGTCATCCCGACGGTGGGGAGCGTCGGGATGCTCGATCTGGACGGTAACCTCAGTTCGGTCGGTCGTCCGGAGAATTTATGGCATAATTCATCTATGCTAGGTGTAGGACCAGGAGTCACCCAATGTCCTGGTGGATAACCACCAGGGTAGCTCGGAGGACTAACTTCCACCAGGTTCCCTTCTACGTCAACAGAGAACAGACTATGATGATCAACGAGACATATACATATGTGTAATTCAATATTTCCACCTGCTGCACATATCCACTAGATATGTGCCAAAGGCTATCCGCAAAATATAACAATCATGTATTCCTTACCAAATTTATTAGGTATCACGTCAGGATCCGTTTCCATAGTCTGCTGGGAATTCTGAATCGGATATTGTTGCGTGGGCAGTTCACTCAGTTCGGCTGGTTTCTCGTGTCTCGGTTTGGAAACACGTTCCCTGCGCGCCCTGACAACGACTACAAGGACGATCAGCACCAGAGTGACCAGGGCACCAACAACCACCCCTATCACAGGGGATAACACGATGCCGGCGTCTTGTCCTGCGACAGATAACAGATAACCAGCTGACATTAAGTCGGATACGGTTCTCATGGATAAATCATTCCATGATGATGAGGTCCATGTCAGGTATGTACCCCGCTCATCCACCTTCACAAAATACTATCCCAATAGCACCTTAACACCGATGTAACTCCTAAACTGTACCTTGCAGGTTTAAAAAACACAAGAAAAAAAAAAAAAGAGAAAAACACAATTCCCTAGCATCCTTATTTATCTTGACTCCATGTTGCCTTCGTGGACAACCGGAAATAAGGGGATACTCCAAACTGCAAGGATAAACTGCATACTGCATACATGTATGGGATGGCCGTGTAAAACGGTGAGAACAGACCAGCTGTTTTTCTCGGATAATTAACAAAACTGTTTCTTGCGCTTTGCACCAGGCCGACCTTTGCGGTGCATAACTACTGTGCAGCATTAACTGTGCATACTTAGCCTACCGCTGGCAAGCTAGTAGATACACGTGATACTTAGCCAGGTTGTCCGTTTTGCATTGTGAAATAGTTTGTAGGTAAGGGTGTCTCGCGAGAGTGGAGGGTAGCTAGACACAGGGGTTGTTTCGCAGGGGACGCGTAATGCCCGTGAAACCCGAGTTTAATCAGCCGTACTCATGCAACCCCTTTTGGCCCGGTCTGGTCCGTTCTGGTCTCCCTGAGAGTCCACTGGCTCCGACCCTCGCATCCTGGGGCGCTGCACCAGCTCCCCGTAATATATAAGGGTTGTCAGGCGGCACGTATACGTAATACAAGAGGTTGTCCTATTTTCGGGTACAATGCGCAGCTTCGTCGACTGGACGGTAAACGGCTCCTGTTGGTACGGGCTGGGGGTCGAGGTTCAAAGGTGGTTCTCAGAGTTGCCGAAAGCAGACTTCAGTCGGCAAGTACCTGACTCCGGAATGTCGTAGGATTTTCAAGGGCCGCCATAGGGACCAGTTAGGGGTAAGTACTCCAAGGACCTTATTTCCGGAGCTTTCCGTAGTAACGAGTGGATTTATTAAAAGGGAACCTCAGACAAGGGTCTAAGGGTTACTTGAGGGATGCCACGTGAGAGAAGCCAAAAAAAAGCACTGAGGTCCTTCTCGGTCTCTTTTCTTTCTTCTTCGTACTTCGTGATTCATGATCAGAAAGTCTGCTGAAGGTCCTAGCGACGCATTGCCCGTAAAACTTCCGAATGGAACTTTAATCGAGTTCTGCAGAAAGAAACGTCCGGGTCAGGAGCGGAGGCGCGGGGTGGCGAGTAAAGATAAACCATCCTCCTTCCCGTCCTTCCTCATTAGCAATCCCCTTAGAGTAAGGGATCACCGAGAATTCTACTAGCTTCCGGCCGTCGCTGGTGCACCGGTCCTAGAGGACGCGTCATGGAAAACGCAACCCTTGCCGGTAGTACCACCGGAGCTTCGGTCTAGAGTCACGTGGATCTAGGGTTACTTCGGCGATTCAGCCGGGAAGCTAGTTAGTTGCAGTTAGTTTCGAGTAAACGGGATGCAAGGGATGATGGCCCGCGGGAAGGGGTTGGGCTGCTAGTTGGCTCCAAGCGGCATCCTGGGAGGGATGAGAAACGTAATTTACAAGTTAAAAGCGGAACCCGGGTCGCGCTGAGATTGAATTCAGGAGCATACAAGGGTTTAAATAAATAAACGAATAAATTGAGGCACCGAGGGGTGCCCTCGAGTTGAAGTCCTCCGGTGACTTTGGAGGGTAGAAGAAGTTGGTGGATGGTACCGTGCTGTAGGTCGAACTGGAGGTGCTGCCGGGGTAGCTGGTGATGAGAGCTGTGCGAACTCTGATTTAGATTCAGTCGCCGTGTTCTGGGTCTTCCGTGATTGTAACCCAAGATAAATATCTTAGTTAATTCAGCGAGGACCCCACTTTCCGACCATCGAACCACCCCGGCAACTCATCTTCCTTCTCCTTTGTATCACGCTGATATCGTTCCACCTATATATCTACCCTTCGCGTCGAACAGGTTACTTGAAAAGCGCCCCTTAAATTCTGCCAGTAACCCCCCCCTAGAGAAACGTGATTTTCCTGACGGGATGATATCCGGTTGTCCATCTCCCTTTAAGCAATTTCGCAACGACCCCTTGTCCCTTAAAATGCCAGTATTCTCAGTCGTGCCGAAGAGTCCTACTTCCTGTATAAGTCCTTCGACGTCTGAAGCCACCCTTCGAGACTGACCCCCAGTCAATCTCCTGGACAAAGCGAATCGGGAACAAGTTGTAAACTCTGACAGATCGGCTACGTTCCTTGCATTGCTAGGAAAGTGAGGTTAAGTCGGGGGGGTCCTGGAGAAACGTAAGATCCTACGGCGCCGGTGAACGACAACCCAGAAGGATGAAATTTAGTTCTGGGTCCTAGTTCGCCTTGGTAGTTGGACGTAAGACGAAGAGGGGGTGTTAGGGGTTGCTAAGTCGCCGCAAGCCCAGCTTAATTCTCCTCTTCCTCCTCCAAGTATCCAAAGGCAACTTTGGCTCACCTGGATTAATACTAACCCAATGCTAACCCTAATCATTCGAGCATCCGGACAGTTCGGAAGGCCTAAGTAACCGGGATAGGTACCCCGTTCCAATTAATGAAACAGGTTAGTCCATCTGGAATATACGGAACCTCAAATTGCACCCTTGCCATATACCACTCATAACGTCCAAAAGCGAATTAAATATCTTTTCCTCAAACTGACGTAATATACAGGGTGGTGGATGGCCAGGGGGTTGGCACCACTGGGTATACGATTCGCAAGCGTGATAGCCTCGGGAAACAATAGGAGGATGTTCTTGCGCCAAGAGTTAATTCCGCTTTACTCGATAGGATCGCAGACACATTCGCGAGTATAATATAGATATAAGCGTGACGTCATCGATCGATCGTAACTCGAGAATCGAAAAGCAATTACCAGACTAATCCCAGAGTTACCGGTTGCGAAAGGGCAGGAAGACGTTGGTGGGGGTCGATGCTAACAGTGATTCCGATAGCGAGTGAGACTTTACGACGAATCCTGAGAATCTTGTCTATAATAAGCGCTTATCAGAAATTGGCCGATTGTCAGGTTTCGCGGCGGAAGATATCTCTGATAGTATTAAGGACCGAGGAAAGCGGAGAGGAAGCTAAAGGCTTACGAGAGACTCCTCTATCTCAATTAAAGCACACCCAGCATCCGTGAGGACCACCAAACCCATTCGATGCCCTAATCCTTACCAGGCGTCATCCGGTTGGCGCGCGCGTCTGTGTGTGTGTGCTCGTCTGCGAGTAAGTTCAATGACAACCGCATCCCACGTTATCTCATCCGTGTTATCTCATTTCCTTCACGACATCATTTCCCTTAATTTGAATTTCCGCGGGGCATCGTTCCCCAAATAATTCCTTGGGTCCGGCGTCGAGAGCACTCAGCGCCACTCGTTTCATATATCCGATAACGTCGTTCAGGCTGACGTATCCGGTGACCTTTGACCCGCCGGTCCTATATTAAGATGATAGAGTTTGGATGAGATACGAATGAGAAAAAAAAATTCATAAAGATCATGAGGAACAAAGAAAAATTATGGAAGGTCGATTTCAATAACTTTAAGGTCCAACGGAGTTGTAGAGCTGGGAATATATGGAATCCAGAGGCTATAGTCACTTCTCCGTGAGAGTAGATGCACTTGATCCATTTTTCTCTTTTGGATCCATCGACTTTTACGTCTCCCCTTCTTCGGCTCTGGATTGGCTCGAGGCCTTCCTTCGCGTTGCTCCAGCGACGCTCTGACTTTGCAGGCAGGGGGAATATTCTGGGATAAAAATGCAGGTTGCTCCCGTTTTGACAGAATTTCAAATGCAGCTGCGCCATTCACTTCCTTCTCGGTATCCCCAGTCAGATAAGTACCCCGGTTCATGCCGGGGAGTCTACGTCTACCCCGAGTCGTATTTTCTGCTCGAGATGCGACCGATAGAATAAGCCAAGGGTAGCTGGTAGTTGGGAACCAGGATGAAGGAGGGAGGTAGGGGGGAATCAGCGAGGCAGGGAGTGCGCCGCGACGCCACGTGGGATTTCACGATTTTTGCAATTCAACGTACTTCCGGTAGGGACTCGCCAATTTACCAGTGTTGCGATTAGAGGCAATGGTCCAGGTTGGGCGAGTGAAGTATACGGAGGGGACGAGAAGGGAGGAATATAAAATAGGGGGGGGAGGAAGAAAAAAAGTTATTATCCAAGGGAGCAGAATGAGAAATGAAGCAACCGCATGGTGGGTACAGAAGTAGGTAAGTGAAGTCTTTGAAAGTACTTCTCTATGTTATTCAAGTATTTGGGGCTAGGTTTATTTCTGATACCTTATGATTTTAGGTGGGGG